GGTGAAATTTTGGTTAGTAAGTATATGGCTACCATATGATTTGTTTCTGTGTATCAGATCACTATATTTCTACTTACAGAAGTACTTAGCAGAAGTACATAATTACTGGTATTTTTGTTGGCCTTGAATTATAAAATGTACAATGATATTTTCATTTAGGATAAAGAAGACGACGTGAAAGTTGGAGTGAAATCGACTGCGTTGATGTTCGGTGATGACACGGTGCTGTGGCTGAGTGGCTTCGCTACCCTCATGACTGGCGGTTTGCTGTACACCGGGCACATCTGTCACCAAGCATGGCCATTTTACGCTGGGGTTGCTGTTACAGCGTTACACGTTTGGTGGCAGGTATATAAGCTAATAGTTCATGCCTACTTCAAGAGTACTGTGTGACAGGATAGAATGTATTCGTGTTTTGGAGGACGTTCGTTAGTAAGTCGTTTAGACGCAGTTGCATTATAACGATGCAAAAAGTGATCGATTCTTTTTTAAATTATGGTTGATAATGCGGTTTGTAAGTTCGCTGACTGTATCTGCGTATCGTTTTGTTTTAAATTTATGTTTACACCTTGTGATGATTTTGTCACCTTTCAGCTGGGTGAAGGCGAAATGTTGCCGCAAGCCGCATTCATCAGACAGCATGGCCTTGTGCACATCGCATGCTTTGGCATGACTGCAAAACACCATGCTGTCCAGATTATTCCTAGGTTGACGGCCTGCTGCGCATAACGTCAGCCGGGATACCAGTGTACAACATGTAAGAACAGGGTTGAGGAAGATCTGCTTTCAGAAGGGAATTGTTCTTTACATAACGCAGCAATTACTGCTTTATAGAAAAAGTATTGCAAAGCGACGAATACAACGGAAATGCAAATGTATATTATATAAATGTAACGTCATATTCTTGTGACGTGAAATCAGTTACGTTTGAATTTACCCTATCATATATATATTACATAATAAATCGACCCAAATGTTTTACTGATAATTTTTGAACACACCTGTATCGAATGATTTAAGTAGTTAAAAATTAGAGCATGACATTGTGACTGAAACTCCCTGCGTGAACTCTTAGAACTTTCTGTACGTGTCACCACTGCTCTTTTAAATTTTGGTGACGTATGATAACTTTATATTTCAATTTATGACAATATGTAATTAATGTCATGTTCTTATTATAAACTGATATTTTAAAAGCGCATTATTACGATCTGACGTGGCGAAATCTTTTAGGTTCTTTGTTGCCAGTATGGTAATCCGGAGGACTGCTGGAAGAAGTTCAACACGAATCGCTATTCAGGACTGGTTCTGTTTCTCGCCATAGCTGTCAGTAATTTCATGAGATAAAACAAACGAGAAAAGTGGAGTTTATTTTTCTATTTTTGCGTAATACATTAAATAAGTAGCAAAGCAAACACCGTTTGGCTTAGAGATACAATCTTCCACACCGTTGTAAGCATATAGCGCCAAGTTGTCTACAAAAATTCTCCAAAATTATGGCACTGTATGCCAAGCGTTTTGTGAAATCGTAATAGAATACGGATTGGCTGCATTTTTGCTCAGCATTTCTGGATCTAACACAAAATAATGA